TCACTATGTGCATTTTAACAGGGTAAGTGGCTGTACTATCTCAGTAGAGCTAATTTCAGCATAATCCAGTTCACTATGTGCATTTTAACAGGGTAAGTGGCTGTACTATCTCAGTAGAGCTAATTTCAGCATAATCCAGTTCACTATGTGCATTTTAACAGGGTAATGGCTGTACTATCTCAGTAGAGCTAATTTCAGCATAATCCAGTTCACTATGTGCATTTTAACAGGGTAGTGGCTGTACTATCTCAGTAGAGCTAATTTTCAGCATAATCCTGTTCACTATGTGCATTTTAACAGGGTAATGGCTGTACTATAGCGTATAGCTGTTCTATCCCGGCAGAATTCACTGAACTGTGTGGAACCTGACAGTGTAATATCAGTTCTATTCTAGCAGAATCCAGTTTACTGAGTTAAACCTTGTAGGGTGGTGATTGTTCCATGGCTGTTTTATTTCAGTATAATACAGTGCACGATGGGACTCTCTAAATCAAATAATCAAACTGATGAATTACCAATATAAAATTATTTATATAAATTTATTATTTTTTTCATTCTGAACATCAACAAGTTAACAAATAAAACAATGAACCTCTATTGAAAAACATTTGGAATTTGTCTGATTTGAAAATGTATCAAAATAAATTATAAATAACAAATTAGTAAACGTTTGATTACAAATATTCCTTGAATAAACTGCATCTTGACAGGAACAAGATTGTGTTCAAAACAAAATTTTTGGAAATATATTATGTAAAATGCAATTTGGTTCAATTATTTGAACTATGTTGTCCATGTGTTGCATTCCTGCTCATAAATCAGTTTATAACATTTTACAAAATATTAACAATGAAACAAATGGCAGTGTACCCACTGAAGACATTTTTCATAAAACCATAATTTCGGGTATGATTTTAAGGTATTCATCATAAAAAAAAAGATGCAAACAAGTTTTTATTCAAACTCAATCACAATAAACACTTTTAAAATAAGATTGCAAACTACTGACAAACTAGTGTAGGAAATGGTGCAGAATCTGAACATACTAAGAACCACTTTCAAAATGTATATATATAGTTTTAAACTATGAAATTAATTTTCCAAATCTGTTGTGTAATCAGATTTCAAATCTAATCAACCTATAGCTTAAACTGGTAACTGACTCTGAAATGAATGTAATTTTTATAAATGAAAGTATCATTTACATCATGAATGCTAGCTTCCCAACATCTGCATGGGTTTTGTAGCTACATTGTATTTCTCTACACACCCAACAGTGTCAAATAAAGTTACCACTTTAAGCATCAGTTTTGTCACTGCCAATAAGACAATCTAATGGATCACAAGATTGAACTGCAGTTCCTCTATCACTGGTCTGGAAAACACTTAAAATTTGATGTGACATTACTCACATTGGCCAAGTTCAATCACTTGGTGAGTTATGTTCAGTGGTCAGGTCAAAATAGTCAAAAACATTTTTGGCACAATTGAAACAAATTTCACCAATAATTTTTAATTATTTTACATTTTGAAGATAGTTTGTACAAAAATATTTTTTTTACAATACTAAACGTGTCAGATTCAAAATGGGATTAATGTTTATACAAGGATTTTGTCTTTTGTCTATATATTATATATTAATATTCATTCAATATTGATATTATACTTCTACAAATAAAGTAGAATGCTGTAACAAATATGACTTTCATCACTTTGTAAGGGTCCATCAAAGTTTATGACCATATAAGTGAAGTGCAAGTTTCTGTCGCAAATACAAGTCAATGACAACTTTGCCAATACAGAACAAGTTTTGAAATTGGTAGGGTAATATAATTTTAGTTTATAATTTGATAGATTAAGCAATCAGGAAAAATGCTTGAATAGCTTTCGTGTTTATTGATTTTAATGTGGTTGATGACTTGTATATACTGATAGTAAATTATGCACAACAAATTTTGCTAGTTAATAGTATACATGCCTACTATATGTCACATAACTGATGGTAACACTTTTGAAATACTTTTCAAACGCTGTCAATAGTTTATTTACTCACTTTGTGCAATTGTACAACAGACACTAGACCAGTGATAGAAGGACTGTGATTAAACAGATAAAGTGCTGATATTTGCTGACATCCAATTTTTAACTAAATAAAACTGATTTTACAAAAAGTGCAAATAAAGTATACCTATTTGAATAAAGTACAGCCAACAAGCCTTGTGGACGCTACCTGGGGTAGTAAGTGGTCTGTGACAAGTTAGGAATTCATTACTACATCATCATCATCAAAAAAGTAACTATTTGTTTTCAAAACAAATAATGCAAATATAAGACTATAATACAAATTCTAATGCTTCTGAATTGGAATTTACAAAGTATGAATGATTTCAAAGTAAACATATCAGAAATGCTTGGTTGTTATTGTCAATAACATAGCACCAAAAAATAGAATTTCATAACAAAATGTAATGAAATTGAGTCAAATACTAAAATTGAGTACAAATATTGCAGGTCTTGAAGTGTATTGAAAAGGAAGAAACATTGTTACAGCAATTATTGCTGCGGATTTGTCATTCGCACCATAAAATTGTGGTAGTATATAAAGCCACAAATGGAAGTTTCTGTCCGATTTAATTTATTCAAATTAAAGATTTGCATTTATAGAACATACAATTTTGTACAGGTATTGTTCATATTATTTAGGGAAAAGTTGAAAACATAATGACAATTTTATGTTTTTTGGTCATAAATCTGTTTGCATGTTCAATATTTGGAAATTTATTACCAACAAAAAATATTTAAACCAGATATTGTTTTGATCTACACTAATTTTATTTGACCATCCAGTTAAAACTAAGTGGTACTGATATATCATTCATTTGTCAGAAATGTATAACATTATTAGATTGATGTATAGAATAAGCATTTAAATGGGCTATTTAAAAACACTTAGAAAATAGCCATTTTATTTTATTTGAATTAAAATGTACAAATTGCCAATCATGTATGTATATGAGAGCACCATTTTTATTCTAGTCAAAAACAATTGTTATGTATCAAACATGCACAGCATCAAAATAATATTGATGGTACATGTAGTGCTTTCACTTATTTATATGAATTCCATTGTTCCCTCATTGTAAGGGTAACTATTTCAGGTATGGTTTGAACACGAAGAAGTGAAAACAGAAATACAAGTACATGCACCTAACTCAAGGCCAGTCAATTAACCAGTGTGTAACTGGATAATAAAAATATGTAAACCTGTTCTATTTTAGGTAGACATTCCAGTTTTACCTAATTAAAAAAAAAATATTGAAAATGCAATGTTCCTTTGGCACTGAAATTCTTATAATTGGTAGAATAATTGTTCCACACAACCTTTTTGACTCAAATTTGTAAATTTTAACAAATATGCAATATAAAAGTGAGAACCTGGATAACCCTATCATTTCAGAATTGATCCAAGTACATGTAGTTTTACTGTCCACATCTATGTATTGGATAAGTACTGTATCAGTACCAAGGTAATAATCTAATGTTTGGCAGTAGTTATGATATATTGGGTTATGAACAATTTCATTTATTTTTCACTCCTACAAGTAGTATCATCTGCATTTCAAGTAACATGTCTATTTATTGCATTCGTATGCACATTTATCACATTCATGACATGTCTATTTTTTGCATTCGTATGCACATTTATCACATTCATGACATGTCCATTTATTGCATCTGAGATCACCCACTTCTGTAAGATAATTTCAGCATAACAATATTTGATGAGTGAGAGATTAATGGGTAGCACAAAGGTGATAAATAGGGGATATAAATATCTGGGTGTCAAAAATACAATAATTGTGCAAATCTGTGACATGTTAGGCGACAGCTGTAATTTCAGAATAGAGACAAAGATACAGAACAACCAGTGTCACAATATGAGCCATTGCAAGGTGTTTTGCACAAATCATTCTCTACAGAAAGATTTTAGACATTTTCATCAGTATTAACACAAGATTACAAATATGTCACAAGAACTGAGTTTAAACACTTGGGGTTGAATTAGTATTGAGAGTGGCAATAGGAAATAAATGGCAATAACGGATAGATGGATGACTGTTTACATTAACAATGACTCAAAATGCACAGGTCTATTCTTGTGAATGTCAGTTCCGCAAGTTATAGAGAAAGTCCTGGTTAAAATTAAATATACCGGTATATTCCCCTGTTGCAACCTTATGAAACAAAGACAGAATTTTGCATAAATGCATAGCTGTAGTATCAGCAGATTACCCATTGATGGCAGCTTGCTTCTTGTTTGGATCACAGTGAAAGACCATAATATTGATATTTGAATCTCAGTAAAGATAACAAAAAATAACATCATTGTAAACTGAAATGGTTTACAAACTCGGCTTTCTAACTTTTGGGGAGAATGTATCACAAATGTCTTTACTGTTTATATCAGATTGCTTACTGAGCCTTCTTTTCCTAGTCACTATTGGCTCATCCAAGACGATATCCTCTGCTGGTTCTTTATCAGTCAGATAGTTGAACAATCTCTTCAAAGCTACAGGAACTTGTTTCTTGCCATTCTTTGTACCACCAAACTCAGCAGAATGAAGAACCTTGTTATTCTTGCAGCTTTGGTTTTGTTTTGTCCTTTTGCTGACACAACAACAGTTGCTATTATTTCCTAAACTTGTAATCTTTTTAGTGGGATTGGCATATCGAGCCATGAGCAAATCCATCTGTCGCATAAGAAAATTACTACACTCACTGTATTTATTTCTACACAAGTTCTGTGTAGCATCCTTAATTGTGACACTATTGTAGACTTGCATATCCTCATCATTAAACACAATAAATCTCTTGGAGTTATGAATGCACACATCATCATCTGATTCTATTGTTTTATTTTCAATTGAATTCAATTCATTGAAAGGATGTTCATCACAGATTAATTCAGTATCAGTATCCGCTGTTTTTATTTCCTCCTTTTTGTCAAATTCCTTATTCCTATGTTCTAACTGTTTGACCTGATCGACAATATCAGAATAGTCTTCCCCACGTGCTGCTGCAATGGCTACCTTTTGTGCTAGTTCCATTCGTTTATGCTGTAAATCCCAGATATGTTCAGTCAACTGGTCTTCTTTCACAAACTCCAAGGCACAAAGTTCACAATATGGGGTATTGTGTTTCTCTTCAAAATGGTCTTCTAACACATCCTAGTATTAAGAATAATTAATAGCATGGAATCAAAATAAGTACATGATAATACGAGGCATTTTAATATTAGTATTGACAAATTAATCCTAGTCAATCCTTATGACAAAACACTAGTCAATAACATTTGTTATATGTTAATGCTGCTGGCATAAGGTAATTCTGGTCAAACACTACTGACACAAATTAATCTACACACATATGTCAATCTACATGCACATGTGTGCAGGGCTAGGAAAATGGTGACGTAAATTTGCTCACCAGTTCAGATAATGAATCCCTGTCATTAAAACCTGTATAAACAAGCATCTGGATATACATGTACATGTACTGTAAAATGACTAATTTTCACTGAGTTTAAATTTCACTGATTTTCCATTTCAGGCATATTCAGTGGGTTTTAAATTCACGGTTTTATCATTTAGATAATGTGTTCTATGCTAAATTTTACATATTCACTGGGTTTTAGTTTAGCGCATTTTCCAGTCAGCGAAATAAGCCAAATTAAAACCCCAGTGAATAATTAACCCCTTTACAGTATGTGAAAAAATCCCCTTCAATTTCAAATGATCAGTCCTGAATCTGTTTCAAGAGAATATTTTCTTCGCCATTTACAACAAAGATTCCTTATCTGATTTGGTAAATAAAATTCTGCTAACTTTTCCGCATCTGCCTGTTGAATTTTGCTTGCCACTTATTCAACCTCCATGTGTATAGAGGTCAGTTTACCTTTATGTTACATTCCTTAACTGATGAGATCAGCTTAAACATGTCAAAGTTTATGTGTGAAAACAACTGACAAAAATAAAAGACAGATAGTTGTAGGAGGCACAATTTTTTGGATCTATTTGACACTTATCAAACAAAAAGCTGTTTCAAAACTCACCATTTGAAAACACATGGTTATGAAAATGTCAATCACATTCCACATTAGTCCAAAAATTGTTATTGCGTTAGGTTCAAAACTATAGACTACTTGTACTGTCTTCATTGTGCACTGTCACAAGGTTCGTGATGGTATACATGTTGGGTTAAATTTAGGGTTTCGGCCAAAAGGTATATTATAATACAGCCAGAGGTAGGATTATTTCACAGCCGAGCTAGTAGACTTTGAAACACTTACACACCCCAAAACTCCAT